TGCACCTATCTTCAGATGGCTGCGTCCCACAGGACATGACAGTGATATGGACCAAAATCTCTGACGAAATGTTTCAAGCAGCTTGTTGAATCTACACCATGAATTAAAACAGCTCTGAAGGCAAAAAGGGGGTCAAACTCAGTACTAGCAAGACTTTAAATCTTAAGAACGCGATGCTTTTATAGTTCAAAAATGTACTTTTGGAGGACAATCTGCTCATAAATGATCTCAGACTCCCATTTCTGAAGTTCTGAATAAACCATCAGTTCACAGCCCATTAATCATCAAACACAGTTTCACAAATATAAAACCAGCATTATTATAGTTGCACTGAAATGAGTTTGTAGTGATATAAAAATACTGTCAGCCACCAGTGCTCCCCCTCAGCCTCAGTGAAGTTTTAATAAATAAATGAGTGGAAGACAAGAATGAGTCAAAATCCAGAACAGATAAATTTTATCACATTTATTTCTGGACTTTAAGTTAAATCTTGGTCAGAGTTCTTCTGTTTCTTTGTGGGTTTGCCGCTCTGCTTCTGTGACTTCTGCAGCAGAGCCAGCGTGTCTCGCTTCTCAATCTTTCTGAGATGTTTCTTCTTCATCCTCTTGATCTTTGACGTATTCCGGATCTGAGAAACAAATGAGACATAAAAGTCAAATATGAGCTGATTGGAATATTACAATAAACCGAGAAAGCATTGACACACGAGGGACTGAAGAATATGCCAGTATTTCTTTTAGCTGGAGACAAGTCGACATACCACTTGAACAATCTCAGCTTTGCGTTCGTTCTCTTCTCGACGTTTTAAGTTTTCTTCTCTTCTTTTCCTCTTTTCCTATTAAAACAGGCAAAAACACAAAAACAAGTGAGGTGCAAAGCGTTGACAACACAATGGTCAAGCAGACCTGCATCACTCACACAGCCTGCCTCCTTACCTCCTTCTGCCGAGCTTTCTCATCCTTAAGCTGCAAAGAATACTGCTTCACCAGTGCCTTCTCCCGCTTGGCCTCCATCTTCTTTTCCCAAGAGGAGCACAATTGTTTGTCTCTCACTAAAGCTGAAAATCTTAGAAGACAAAAAGGTTCACACTAAAGTTTTACCAACAAACTTTAGGGCGATCTGTACAAGACATCTCATTATAAACGAAACCTTATTACCAAGAACTCTCATCACCATCCTCATTAACTGCCATGTACGTACTTTTCATTCACATACAGTACTATATAATAATAATAATAATAATAATAATCGTCCTCACCTCGCCTTGCTCCGGTCCTTCCACACTCTTCCAGATTTCGGTTTTCCCAGAGGAATGGCCGGGCGGGGCTTCTCACTGGGAGCTAGGTGAGGCTTCTTCGGGACCGGCTCTGCTGGAACAGGTCTGGACAGAGGAGCGTCTCCGCTGCCGTTAACTGTGGATTTGTTTTCTGTATCCGCCGCTGGAGTCACTGTCTGTGGCTCAGCTGGTTCCGGTGTCGGCTGCTCTGCCCCGGGACAGGACTCTGGTTCCGCTGGCATGCTGGACCTGTCCTCGGCCGGACTCACAGGTTTCTCCTCTGTATTTGTTTCCTCCACCTCTACCGGTAGCTCCTGGAGGACTGACCTCCTGCTCCTCCGGCTGGGAGTCCTCACCGGGGCTTCAGAGCCGAGCACCGGTGCTGGAGTCCGGAACGTGCGGCCGCTGCGGGTCCGTCTGCCCTCCGCCGGTGGTTCCTGGACCTGCTCCGCTCCCGCTTCCGCCTCATCGGCGGCTTTCTCTTCTGACACGGGTTTTCCTCTTTTTGGCATATTTTTAAATAAAGTAACAGCTCATTACTACACCGTACTTCTGTTTCCACGTGTGAGCTCTCCCAGCGTTGTGTACGTCGCGTTATTTCCGGTGTCGACGATAAACAACATGGCTTCACATTACCGCCACCTCCAGTTCTGGAGGGCAAACTACAAATTTGAACTTCCTCTAAGGAGCGCCATTGTTTGGCTTTAGCTTTTATCATGAAAACTGTGGTGTTTGCTCTTTGTAATAATGCTCATATAAATGTGACACCATCAATGTGTAGCTTAGTTAGCTCCATCAGTGAGTCAGTCTCAGAGATACCTCTAGAGTTAGATAGTGAGTGAATTTAGCTTGTCACAGTTCACATACACTAATTAAACACACTTGGATTTTGGGTGTCTTCTTTCTTTACAGCCACAATCAAATTTGAGAAGTCAGTGTCTTTGGTTGCATGTCTTATTAAGGCGAGGTTGCTGGAAGTGAACCACAGAACACAGAGAGAAAGATCCTGAAATGACGCTAAAATACAAACAAGAGGAAAGTGGTCAAAGTATTTGATGAAGGCTGAAGAACCTCATAGGCCGACTTCATATGTAAACTTTAATTTGTTTCATATTTTACTAAATTTAAAACAGGGGGATTTCAAATCAAATGTCATGTAAACCTCAGTAGTGTAAGTAGCTGCTGTGAGGCCTTTTTGAGCTTTTTGGGTTGAAGCCAAAAAGACCAGTAGAGGTCCTTAAAGATTTGAACCCTCAGAATTAGTTTACGCTTCACTGATCTCAACCTGAGCCCGATTTACAAACTTATTACTGATTTAATTTTCAGAAATGCAACTTAATAAGTTAAATAAGCTAACAATTTTACTCTTTTTTTCCTTAAGGGCAGCAAATTTAGTTTAAAAAGAAGGAATAGGGCTTTGTTTGGATTCATCACATCACACCCATGCAAGTAGTAAAGCTTGCAACCCCCTTTCATAGTGCAGTTATGACAGGTATAAATACCAGAAGTTATTAGAAGCAGATATTAAAACTGAGACCTCAGTCATGCCATTTAACCGTAGCCGAGCCTAACTGTGGGGGATGTGAAAACATTTTTTCTTAACTAAAAATCCTCTTCCTTCATTGATGTGATTACATTTAGTCACCCTTCAGACCCTGATGGAAGAGTCTGACTTTAATGCCAGAGTGACTTCATCACTATCCTGGCAAAGTGTGTTAGTGTTTAGGTGTTACCCAAGATCCACAGTGACGGGAGACAGCTGAACCATTTAACAGGTTTCAGTGAACAGTTTCAGGAATGTGCAACAGCACAAAATGTTCACAAGCAGTTTTCCAAGGACCAGGACTTCCCTCAGGTAAGTGTTACCAAAACATGGATTCAGACAAGTATTTCCATAGGAACTGGGAGGGTAAGGCTTGCAGTTAACCTTCCAGAACAGAGGAGTCTCCGATGAGACTGAGGAATTGGGACAGGAAAGTGCTGTCAGTAAGTGGAAATGTGAAACAGGTTTGCCTGCTTGAGTCTTCCCTTGACCACACCGACTCCTGGAAAAGAACATACATGCAACTTATAGAGCTAGACAACAGAACTGCACCTGGAGGACAGGAAACTATGACATGATTTGACCTTTTACCTTTTTAGACCTTCCCAAAGCTTCCTTTCTGTCTAATCCAACCATAAAGGGCATGTTAATCGATTATTAACCAGGTACTGACAGGAACACTGAGACAGGTTTGCTTGTTGTAATTTAATTTGCTGTTGTAATTGTAATTTAATTTAATAATTGTATTTGATCCAAGTCTCTGGTACACTAACTGTCAGTATTTTTCAGCATAAGGATGCATCACCTGAAAAAAGCATATTAGAAGTTGCCACTCCAAGCCCCGGGCATCAATAAAGTCAATCCACGTCAAAGCGTACCAAAGCCTTCTTAAATAGCACAGCTCTGCCCCCTCTCACTTCTATCTGCTGTAAATTTGAAAGCTTTTGATTTTTATTTTTTTTTTGCAAGGTCCCAGAAGATAGACTGTTGCACATGTTACTGCTCACAGCAGAAAACAGGCCAAGTGTTTTCAAGTGTTCATGGGTGTTGTTTTGTAGGGGAATCTTGCCCATCACAGGGGAACCTGAACTTGTTTTCCCTCCACACACATGGCCATCCCAGCGCTCATAGGCTCATCAGCCTTCTGTATAATTATATTGCTTATAAAGAATTCAATATTTTGTTTTAACTGCGATAAGATCAAAGCTTTAAGTAGAATTAGACTGTGCCTGACCAACTGTTGTAAAAACTTTAAGGCCAAGAACTCGTGACTGTACTGCCTTACTCTAAAGTTTTTCAGGGTGGGATCTCACCTGTCAGAGGTGAACCTCCACTGTTTTTATTTTTTAACAAAATTCTCAAAAACTTGCACAAAGTCTTTATCTCCACATTCTTATCTCTAGTTAAACCACATCCAAACAGTTTTCTCACACAGTGTCCCTGCTCACACCGAGGACAAGGCCAAGTATCTGTAGGCCACCCCACAGTGTCCCTCATAGGTTCATCTGCTTGGGTTTTACTTAGTAGAGAAAAATGCAGGTAACTAAAAGACACACACACACACACACACACACACACACACACACACACACACACACACACACACACACACACACACACAGTCCAAATGAAACAGCTTACTTGACACACCTTTTAAAGTAAAATGTTACATTGTGAATATTTAAAAAAACAAAACAAACGTCTTCAGTGCCTTAAATAAAAGGCCCAACACTGCCACCTGCTGGCTTAAAAGCGTCCATACGCCACCATACGGCACAATAATAATAATATTTAAAAAAATAAATAAATAAATAAATAAATAAAACTAGGACGTCCTCTTTTCCTCCTGCCTGGCAGCTCCTTATTCAACATCCTTCATCCAGTATATTCATTGTCCCTCCTCCGCACAGGTCCAGACCATCTGTTCCTCACCTCTCTCATGATTTCCAGACATAAAAATATTGCGGATTTAATACATTGTCGTTCTCTTACCCATATTTCCTTCTGCTGTATATTGTATTTTTACTCTATACTGTCAGATTGTACATTTAAAAAAAGGCTTCTATCCCATAGTTCAAAACAGTGACTGTCATTATTTCAAACCCTTTGAATAAAAAGCTCAACACTGCCCTCTGCTGATGTAAAAGCGTCCACACTCCACCAGCATATCACATGATTTCACTTCCGCGAGCCCAAATGAAACGACTCACGCGCAGTAGATCCAGGGACGTAAGGTCTGTCGCCGACCGTGTTCAGATAAATTCTGCATGTTTTGGTAACTTTGGATGCGCTCCGAGCCTGAAACAGAGCAGCAGGACTCTTGAGAAGACTCGTAATCATGTTGGTGCTCAGAACTGGCAGCGTGCTGCTTCTGCTGATGCTCTTTGGACGATCAGTGAGTAGACTACGCTTTTAAAGATAAAGTTTTAAACTTGTCTGGTGCATACTCTGCAGCCTCATTACACGAACATGAAATAGGGTGCTGTGATGTGAGATCATAAAGGTTTTTAACATCAGTAGTGTCAGGCTCATGTATCGGTTGTTGTTTGTCAGAGTTTTAGACTATAAAGATGAATGGTCGATACATAGGTTACACTGGAATGTCTAGCAGAGCTGAAACATTTAAAACCATGTTGGGATAACTACAGGATCTTAATGATACATTTTTTTTTACTGAGACATCCTGAGATCACCTGAGGTGTCAGCCCTGTGCCATAAAAACACTAACTTGCCAAATTATGACCACTGCAATATACAGTGCTAAGAAACAGCGCTTCCTGGTTTGCTTATATTTTGGCATATTTGTCACACGTACATGTTAGACAAAGATAAGCTGAGTAAATACAAAATGTAGTTTTTAACTGATCATTTCATTTTTTTTAACAAACAAACAAAAGTTATCCACATGTACCTGGCACTATGTGAAAAAGTTAATGTCCTTCTTTCTCAAATTATGAATATACACTCATTAGCCACACTTAAGCCTGATTACTGCCAGGCCTGCTGATTCAAGAAATCACTTAAACAGAACCAGTCTGACAATCTCCAAAAGTAACACATCATGGGACAATCTAAAGAAACACATGAACTCCAGTGAAGCACCGTGAGAGCCTTTATTCACAAAAGGAGAAAACGTGGAACAGTGGTGAACTTTCCCAGGAGTGTACGGCCTCGCATCAGCAGCTCATGAAGGGGGTCACAGAAGAACCCAGAACAAGATCAAATGAACTGCAGGTCTGACTTTCCTCAGTGAAGTTCATGATTCAAGAATAAGAAATAAAATGGCCTGTATTTGTATAGCGCTTTAATAGTCCCTAAGGACCCCAAAGTGCTTTACACATCCAATCATCCACACATTCACGCACTGGTGATGGCAAGCTACACAGCCACCCTGGGGTGCACTGACAGAGGCGAGGCTGCCGAACACTGGCGCCACTGAGCACCACCAGTAAGCAACGGGTGAAGTGTCTTGCCCAAGGACACAACGACCAAGACTGTCCAAGCCGGGGCTCGAACCGACAACCTTCCGATTACAAGGCGAACTCCCAACTCTTGAGCCACGATCGCCCCATAAATAAGAAAGAGACTGGGCAAAAATGGCATCCATGGGAGAGTTCAAGGAGAAAACCACCAACACATAGAACACAAAGGCACACATTTGAAAAACCATGTTGATGATCCCCGAGACTTTGGGGGAAATATTCTGTGGATTGATGACACAAAATCTGAACTTTTTGGAAGGTCTGCATAAAAAGAACATAATACCAGCAGTCAAACATGGTGGTGGTATTGTTATGTTCTGGGGCTGATTTGCTGCTTCAGACCCTGAACAACTTGCTGTAACTGACAGAAACATGAATTCTGCTCTCAACCAGCAAATTCTGAAGGAGAATATCTGAAGCTCGAGCTCACCGGAGTTACATAGCAGAACAGTGATCTGAAACACACCAGTAATTCTGAATGGCTCAACAAAAAGAAATGAAGGTTTCTTTTGTTGAGCTAAGTCAAAGTTTGGACTTCAGTCCGACTGAGAGTCTTTGGCACAACCCTAAACAGGCTGTTCATGCTCGAAAATCCTCCAATGTGTGTGATTTAAAACAATTTTGTAAAGGAGAGCGGGCCGAATTCCTCCACAGTGATGTTGCCAGGTATCGCAAATGCTTGATTATAGCTGTTAGTGCTAAGATTGGCCCAACCAGTTATTATGTTTAGGGAGCAATAGCTTTTTTCACACAGCGCCAGGTAGGTTTAGATGACTTTTTTCGCTTAAGAAATTAAATGATCATTTAAAATGAATATTTTGTATGTGGCTGGGTTATCCATGTCTAATTGTAAAATGATATGAAACATCTAAGTGTGACAAATATGAAAAAAAAAAGGGGAAAAAAGATTCAGATGTGAATCTGTTGTGTTGTGATCTGTCTGCAGCTCGGGGAATCTCCTTCATTCACTGTGGACTACCAGCATGACTGCTTCCGTAAAGATGGGGAGAGGTTTCAATACATATCAGGAAGTATCCATTATAACAGGATACCCAGAGTCTACTGGAAAGATCGGCTGCTCAAGATGTACATGGCAGGCCTGAACGCCATCCAGACGTAGGCTTACTTCCTCTCACTCTCTGTAATCTTCACATATCTGTGGAACTGATGTGGAAACTGAAGCGAATGAACTCAGCTTATAAGTTAATAACTGTGGCAGTTTTGCTCTGTTGATGCAAACAAACACATAATCTTAGCAATATGATGCTCTATAAACTAAACTGTAAATAGACTACATGTTGGTGAATCCAAATTAATTTATGGCGCAATCATGACAAAATAGTTATAGAACTAAGGATGTATGATTTGATTTAAAGCTTCATGTTAATGAAAGCACAAACACATCTGACAGGTTTCCTGTTTGTTTGGATGACACTGACGTTTCAGTCACTTTGCAGGTACGTTCCCTGGAACTACCATGAAGCGCTTCCAGGCTTGTACAACTTCAGTGGAGACAGAGATTTGGAGCATTTCCTTAAGCTGGCGCAGGACATCGGTTTGCTGGTCATCCTCCGGCCAGGACCCTACATATGTGCAGAGTGGGACATGGTGAGTGAAAGGGTTTGTTGACTGTGTTTTTATAATAAACTATTACAGGACACTTAAAACATGCACTTGCCTTTTATTAATAATGTGGAGAGTCTGATCCCTCCATCAGCCTTAACCGCTTCTTACCTGGTCATCTACACAGTCGTTTCCAAAAAAGCTGGGACACCGTGTATCCGGTCGTTAAGTGATGACGTGACGAATCCTACTTCCGGGCCTAAAGTAGTCTGCGTTTAATATGGCTTTTGTGTTGTTAACATGTTTAATGTTATGTATTTTCTTCTATTTGATCTCAAAAAACAGTCAGTGATCACTGTTGACCTCCCTCGGCTTTTATTACCACTAATCATTTATTTAAGCTCAGTTTTTAAAACCTTAGGATGTAACTACAGCCCAGCCCATGCAGCAGTATATGAATGACTAACCTCGTATTGTAGATGGATTATCTCAGTTGTTCTCCCGGCTGAAGTTTGGTCCTTTTACAGCATCCTGCCATGCGATTACATTTGTTCCTGACCACCGAGAACACTCACGTTAACTTTTATCGAGTGGAAAAAAAGTTAGCTTGTTTATATTATGCTAACATACCTGTGTCGCTAGCGGTCACGTGGCACATCATTATATACCGGCTAGCCCAACTTCAGTAACCCTACAAACGTCACTGCTGTTTAGTTTTCTGTCTTCATTTATGTTGGAAGTGATAACAGAGCTGTACGTTTTAATTTGTTTCCAAAACCCCGCAGTCAGGACATGCTATGTTGTATTTAGATAGAAGCTAGCGAGCTAACTTCCTGCTAACTTCTAACTCCGTTAAATGTCATAAATTCCGTTTTCATGGATGCCTGGATGTTAAACTCAATTGTTACACCTGGTAGAGCAGAACGCTGATCATTTTATTAAAGATGAAAGACTTTAGACAGTTTTTCAACTCTCAGTAATGCCACAGTGATCGTTTGATATATGGACCTGCAGCGGAGTTTAGACCCAGACACGGCTAGTGACGTCAGACTTAACAACCGGATAGTGCAGTGATTTGGTGATGTTTTTATTCACAGTTGAGCACAAAAAAGGTAATTTTGGATTTGAAGGTTATCAACGTGCCTCAAAAAGGTTGTGGATAGGCCATGTTTACCACTCTGTAGCATCCCTTCTTCTTTTAACCACAGTCTCTAAACATGTGGAAATTGATGTGACCAACTTCAGGGAGAGGAATGTTGTCCTGCTCTTGTTTCATATCAGATCTAGCTGCTCAACAGCCCTGGGGGTCTTCTTTGCAGTATTTTTGGTTTACTAAAGCACTAAATGCTTTTAGATGGTGAGAAGTCTGGAAGGCAGTCAAGCCTGTTCATCATCCAGGCTGCAAAGTCATGCTGTTATAACAGAAGCACTGTGCAGTTTAGTATCATCTTCATCTGAAATCTGCAGAAATTTATGAATCAGATAGCATTGATTTTCTTTTTATTTAAATGTTTGGTCAGAAACTGTTGATGAATAATTGATGGATAAAAGGATAAGTAACAAATTTCAAGTGCTGAGTTGATTCTCGGGACCCGGAACACCGCTGTAAAATTTTATATTTCCCTCTGGATGAACTGAATTGCAAAGCTTCCCAACCTTTGGTGCAAAGCATCATAACATTCCCAGAAACCCATCACGCCTCATAATTAACCTCTACTGCAATACATACTCTGTGGTCCCCATAGTAATTGTCTTTTTAGCAACGAATAGAAACAGAGTTTCTATGCTATGCCATGCCTCAAAGCTTTAAACATGCATTTAGCAAAAATCTCTTAATATTAGTATGAATTGCAAGTTATATTTCTGCTGTTTAAGTTTCACTGGACTTTATGGTGTATTTAAAATTTCACGTTATCTATTTTTGTGTACTTCTGCCAACCAGGGTGGTCTGCCTGCCTGGCTTCTCAAAAAGAAAGACATCGTACTGCGCTCTACAGATTCAGGTGAGAAACAAAAGCAAATGGTAATGTAACCAGTAGAAATTGTATATACAGCACAATTCGCAAAAGAGTCATTTGTGTATTCCAGACTACATCGCAGCAGTGGATAAATGGATGGGGAAGTTGCTGCCTATGATAAAGCCGTATCTCTATCAGAATGGTGGTCCGATCATCACTGTTCAGGTGAGTCCAGGACTTTCCTGGTGTTTGGATTTGTACCTGCTTTAGCTGCTGTTGTTATGTTTTACATCATCATTACATACCTGTTTGATAGGTGGAGAATGAATACGGCAGTTACTTTGCCTGTGACTACAACTACATGCGTCACCTGTCCAAGCTGTTCCGCTCTTACCTGGGTGATGAGGTGGTGCTGTTCACTACAGATGGGGCTGGGCTGGGCTACCTCAAGTGTGGCTCAATACAAGACCTCTATGCCACTGTGGATTTTGGGCCGGGTAGGTATCTGTCAACGGTAAAATGCAGAGTGAGGTGAACACTCTAAGCTGAAAACTTCTTGTTTTTTTTCTGCACTGACTCCTTGTCACATTTCATTAGTCATTCACAGGGAAGTAGCAAAAACAAATGCATGATTATTATTGTCTCTTCCTTTTGCTAGGTGCTAATGTTACTGCTGCCTTTAAAGCACAGAGACAAGTTCAACCTCACGGGCCTTTGGTAAGGGTCGCCCTCACAATGTTCTCACAGCATGGTACATTTTCTCTTTAGGTGCTCACGGTGTTGTTTTTAATTCACAGGTGAACTCTGAATTTTACACTGGATGGCTGGACCACTGGGGATCACATCACTCGGTTGTATCGCCCACTCGAGTGGCTAAGGTCCTCAGCGAGATGCTGCTCATGGGAGCAAACGTCAACTTGTGAGTTTATGGATCTCAGAGACTGATTGTTAGAGACAGTGAAGGGCTGTATCATCTAAAGCTAGAAATGTATTGGTGAAGTGATGCTTCCAGGGATCAATCCACTGCTACAACTGCCACCTAATACAGTGATTGGCCAAACATGGTGCACAGGTAAATGATAGAAGGTTCTTATCTATCAGACATTATGGCAGCATCATGTTGCTTAGCAGCCACTTAGCAACATTCTAAAATGATTTATGCACTGGTATTGTATCGTTTTAATTTTACAACTGCCACACAAACATTAAATTAGATGTTCCTAGCAACAACCTTGCAACAGGCTTAAGTGACAAAAATCTTTGGTACCGATCTACCACCCCATCCCATAATGCACTTTGCATTTCTCCTTCATTTACCTTTTTCATTCTCTTGTGTTTATACACCATTCTACATTTCCACAGTGTGTCAGGGTGGTGTGATCAAAAAGTTTCAGCCAAATGTTTCTTCTACAATAAAAAAAAAAAAAGACATCTCCTTTGACAACACAGTTGTGAATAACGGTAACAAAGAGGCATATGAGCTTCTTAGGTGACACCTACAGGGAGCAGGTGAAAAGAAGCAGATCTGTAAAACATTATTACTCTGTGTAGTGTGTGATTAATAATGAGTCTGATCTTAAATCCACACTTGAACATTTCCATCTTGAGTTTGCAACTATGGCAAACAGTGATTGAAATGGGCTAAATTATTGTAAGAATATACACATTGCTATGTAAAATAATTGGATACTAGCTAATTGCTCTACATTTGCAAATACAGCAGGTGCATATTTTAGCTTATATACCGGTACTCACCTCCCTTCCTCCTCACACAGGTACATGTTCATAGGAGGAACCAACTTTGGATACTGGAATGGTGAGTCCACTTTGACAAACTGATCTGCTGAGATGATGATTGTTTCACATGACTTCTGACAAAACACTGCCTTTTGTCTGACTGTCACTTAATACCCTCAGGGGCCAATATGCCATACGCTGCACAGCCTACAAGCTATGACTACGATGCTCCGCTCACAGAAGCCGGAGACCTCACAGAGAAATATTTTGCCATCCGAGAGGTGATCAAAATGGTACGAACAAGCGTAAGCTTCTACTTTTACAGTGTCTAATATCTGTGAAGGTAATAAAACACTGTGGCAGCATTTCATTAGCATACGCTAACTGTAGTTACAATAAGTAATTCATTGTTTCTTTTGAGTATGGTTTTCTTGTATAAGCCATTTTGACAAACTTGCATTTTTCCAACAGTACAGTAAGGTACCAGAAGGGCCGATACCACCAACAACTCCAAAGTATGCGTATGGTGCCGTAACAATGAAGAAGGTGGGTGAAGAAGGTCACCTTTAATAAAGTCATTAAAACAGTGTTATAGAGTTTTTACTGTTTTATTGGATTATGCTTCAAATGTTATGTTATACTTATGTTCACATATTTCACCAGACACAATGTACCAACTCTGCAGAAACAGGAAGCTCACCCTGTGACATTATTAGCACACACACTTTGTGAGACACACACACACACACACACACACACAGCTTACACACAGACAGCATCAGGACCTGCGTAACAGGAAATGTGATTATATTTGTATATTGACGATGTAACCTATAAAAATAAACGAATGCTGCAGTTCGTGGTGTCGCTCTGTCTGAGATTCACCCGTGCAGCACATTAACTATCTCGAGTGTCTCAGTGTTGTTTATTCACCTGACTGTTTGTTAACTGTAAATCTCTGACAAACAGCTACTTTTTTAGCACTTTAATAATGATTTTCACTTTACTTTATTAAAAAATGGATAATGAAGCTTATGGACTGATGAAAATTAAAGATTAAAGTTTGACCTTGTGCCACCTGCAGCTCCAGACCGTGTCGGATGCCCTAGACGTACTATCCCTCTCTGGCCCTGTCAGAAGCATCCATCCTCAGACTTTCATCGACTTGAATCAGGTACCAGTAATTGTTCCGTTTTTCCCGTTTTATCAGCAATAATAACTTTGTACTGTCATTAACGAGTCTCTTATGCTCCTCTAGGCTTTTGGTTTTATGCTCTATAGGACCATCCTGCCCATGGACTGCACCACACCAACTCCACTGTCATCTCCACTGAATGGGGTCCATGACAGAGCATACGTGTCAGTGGACGGGGTGAGTATCAGATGTTAGGTGGAGGTTCTTCTTCATATGAAGCCAGACTTTATCACAGTTCGCTCAGTCAGTTCAAGTTTAGACTAGCTGTTGTTCTTAAATATTTCGGTGGAAGCCAAACGTATGCATCATT